TGCTACAACACTGACTAGTCATTCTTGGCCACCCCGCCTGGCCCGTGTCTGATCTTTCCCTAGTCTACCCAGCCAGGTTCCCAGACTCAGCAAGCTCAGCCGCCTAGCCTGCCGGACCCCATAGCTCAAATCATCGTAGTCCAAAGTTGCACTCCGCTCTCCGGTCACGCTGTGTACCCCATATGCTCCCTTACCAGTGTCACAGTGCCCTGATCTGTGAGTCTGTCCAGTGTCCAAGCTCGTACAATTCCATCGGTGGGAAGGATACCATACGCACCGTTCCCAAAGATGCCCCTCACACCCTAGTGTTCGCTCCACTACCTCACGATCGAGTATTCAACCTGTTCTGTGTCTGGGCCCGTGGCACCCAGCGCTTCATGCTCCCCATCTCTCCCAGCCCCCACTACTCCCCTCTCAGCCTAGTTCTGTCCCTCCTGAGCTTCCACAGCTAGGCAAGGCGTCTTGAGCTATCTGGATGTGCTTGATTGATGCCTAGTGGCTGCCAACTAGCCTACCTCCTATTGCTTGTCGCTTCAGCTTAGCCCACTATGGAGCTCTTGTCCAAGTCCCTTGATTATGATGTCACATGACCCATCAACCTCCCTTTTCCTAATGTCACAATAGTACCACCAGAGTGCCTGGTTCCACAGATCACCACAATCCCAACTCACCCTAATTCAGCCATGGCCAGGCCACAGCAACCCCTTTCCCAACCTCATCCCGGTCTGTAATTACCCCTGCTGAATGGATAGGGGGCCCCCACTATGCCCAAACTCACTGTAGTATGCCTCCTCTAGCCCTGACACCTATCCTTGTAACCTACTTCCTAGGCTTCTGCTCCCTAGATTTCCAACAGCAGTTTCTGTTCTCACCATATCTGCTTCTGCCTGTCTCCACAGCCTCCCATGTTCCCTGACACATACTGTCCTGTCCCTCAGCTTCCCTCCCACCTAACCAGCCCCATAACCACTTTGCTCAATTCTACCCAGTGCAACCAACTACAAATACATTTGTCTGCCCAACCTACACTTTCCTCAGCTCACACAAGTTCTCCAGTTTCTATTCAGTTTGCCTATCAGGATGCCCACCTCATCCTGGTCTGCATAGCATGCTTTAATTCCTAGCTATTCACAGACCACACACGTGCTGGGTTCCCTAAGACTGCAGCTGGCTGGCCTGCCATCTAACACTGCTAGCTACTTTATCCTGTACCACCAAGCACACCCCATTCTATGACTAGCCTCACTTCTTCCCGATCAGGCTTTCCAACTACATCACCAATTAAAAAAATTGTATAATCCTACACAAAAGAATGCCTGAAGTTTTAATTGTATACATCCCATATTTATGACAGCTTTATGATTTTAGTCTGTCCCTCTGAAGACATTGCAAGCTGACTCAAACACAAATGTTGGTCACTGAGCATTCGCAAAGTAAATATGTGGAGAGAAATTTCATCTTATAGCTAATTTGGTGAGAGAGAAAATGCTGAATTTTCTGTAGATATGTTGAAGGACATTGGTCCTGATGCAACACACTAAAAAGCAAACACTTCCAAGAAGATGCCAAGTCAGAGTCTCCAGGCAGGAGAATTGCAAGGGTCCAGGTCAAGAGCTGCAAACAGTGAAGGGGACTGAGCTGGAGTCCTGGTCACAGAAGAAACAAACTGCAAAGCTCCCCGTGGAACTGGATGAGAAGAGAGCTGGGTGGGAATGCAGCGGCAGGTCCAGGCAGAGAGCTCTGCGGGGGTGAGACTGAAGGGGGGCGCCTCGGGGGCTGAGGGCTCCTCCTCCTCCCCACCCTCACAAACCCTCTATGACTCCTCCCTGCTCTGTGATGCAGACCTGACTCTACAGTGAGGCCCACCCAGCCTCAGAACTCAGCTGCCTCGGGCAGCTGTGCGATTCACACTATGGAGAACGTCATCTCCTTTCTACATAGCGCTACTGAACCATGGCTGAGCTTTGCACATTTACCCTCAGCCTTCATGGACATTTACCCCAAGTGCATCTTCCTGAGTGCAGTAGGGGTGCTTCTCTTGTACCTGAGGTACCTGCTACTGAAACCCTTCTTACCCACGTGGGACAACCGAGACCTCAGAAAGGTGAGGCGGTATGGTGGGCGCCTGGGGGTTTCTTCATTGTAGCTGCCATTTCTACTCCCAATGAGTTTGGTTGCCTGCACTAGGACACTGTGAAGAGGAGAGAACACTACCATGAGAAAGCATGGAGCCTGGGATGGGAGGAATTAAGGTTTCTGTCTCTTCTCTAGCCTGACCCCTGGGTGTTCATGGCCCAGTGTTGAGCACCCATCCTGGTCTTGCTGCTTAGTCCCAGATGTCAGATTTCTGAGGGAGAACAGTGTCTCCTGACGCCTGCCCCATGCCCTTGCCCACGTCCTAAGCTCCCCGCCCTCACTCCCCCAAGTCGCGCTGCAGGAGAGCAGTGCTGACCACAGACAGCCTCTGAGCAGAGCCTGGTGTCGGAGGTCTGTTCCCAGGACCAAGTGTCTCAGAGGGAGCGCCACTGTGGCCCTGGTCTCAGTCTGTGCTGTTTAGCACAGGACTCTTACTGATATTCTCAGCTGTGACTCTTGCAGACAAAAATCCTCCTTTGGTTTCTCAAAGAAGGGGAAACTGAAAGTCTTCTATCACTTTTAAAAGTAAATAATAAAGATTGGAATTAATCTTACTTGACTAGAAATCACAATATTTTTGGTTAATGGAATTCTTGAGCATCCTAGGAAAAACAACAGAAAAAAATCATTTTTCTTTCTGTTAACAGCAACAGAGCAAAGCTAAGAAAGGAAGGAGAGCATCATCGAAAGGTAGGCACTCACCTCTAGGGTCTTATCACCTCAGTTTCCATAAGAGCTGGGTCCATGATCTGAGGTTGTCTCCCTCAAAGGAGACTGAGAACCAGCCCTGCACCCCAGCCCTGCACCCCAGCCCTGCACCCCAGCCCTGCACCCCAGCCCTGCACCCCAGCCCTGCACCCCAGCCCTGCACCCCAGCCCTGCTCACCCATGGGCATGGAGTGTGATACCCGACCTGGGCAGTGGGTGCTGCCCATGCAGTGAGCACAGGGGCTGTCCAGGGAGGACTACAGTTTGTTTTGGAGGCACAGCTCCTGCCTTCTGGTATCATGTACACGCCTCACCTCTGGGGCGCAGACATCTCTGAGGAAGCCAAGACTTTGAGCTTCTGTGGTGCACATTGTGAGATGATGTCCACAAAGGGACCTCGTTAACAAAGAAACACAAGTGAGCATTGCTAGTATTGTTGGTGACAAGTTCACCATGTCTACTATTTCTTGATGATTTTAGACTACAATAGCCTTCGGTGTTTCCCTTAGGGGGACTGTGTGATGCTCATTTCTCTGTCTTTTCTTCCATATGACCCACGTCCCACGGTTTCCAGAATTTAGAATCTTCCACAGAGAAGCTTGGGAGAGGAGGAAGCTGCTGTCTGTTGTGCAAAGGTGACAATTTCCCCGTTCTTTCGGGCCCATCCCCATCCCCACCCCGAGGTCAATGCATCCTGGGAACTTGACGTAGCCCGCTTGTGTCTTGGGAGGCATAGCTAAAGGAGTGTGGAAACTGGAGGCATGGGGAGAGACTGCAGCCTCTCTGGTAGCCACGGACAACAAAAGGAACAGGCACGCAGACTTGGGGCGTATGCACCCCACATGGGCCTGTAGCCCCCTTTCTGTGCATGCTGGTTGTCCCAGTTTTGTTGCTGTTGCTGCGATAAAACTCCACAACCGAAAGGACCTTTAAGGCGCAAGGTTTATTTCAGCCTATAAATCCAGCTCACAGCTGTTGAGGGAAGTTGAGGCAGGAACTTGAAGGCAGGTGAGTTCATTGCCTCCAACCAAGGCACTCACTTCATAGCCAAGGAGGGGTAAAGCAGGCAATGCTGTTTGCTGGCTGGAGTATAGACAGGCTCATGATCAGTGAGTTTTCTTACATGTCAGTACCATTTGCCTAAGGATGGTGCTGCTCACAAGGGGCTGGGCCTTCCTACGTGAATTAACAACCAAGACAACTTTCTACATGCATGACTGCGGGCCTGTCTTATCTAGGCAATCCCTCCACTGAGGCTGGTCTCTCAGATGACACTAGGTTGTGTCAAGTTGACAGATGAAGATAACTAGAACACAGGTCCTGACCACAGACCTGACCTCTGTCTTCTTCAGCCCTTGTGGACGGCTGTACGATGCCTCCCACTTTCGGCAAGTGCTCTGCCCAGACCCCTGCTGTGATGTGTGCAATGGAGCAACCGCCAAGGTCAGTCATCTGCTGTCACGGGCCACCCTCGAAGACGGTGCTGCCTCTGCCTCCAGTGTGCCTTCCACGGCTTCTGTGACTGAGAACTCATTTTCTCTGTCCCCTCCCCGCTCACTGAGCCCCCCAGGATGTCAGACTTCATCTCTGTCACCTGCACCTTCTCCTCCTCCCACCACCCTCTCAGCTAACAAGGTCACCCCCTTGGAAGACATACTTTTGTATGCACCACAGGGTGATGCTCTGCCGTCAGAGCCTCTTCTTCTCCCAGGCACTGACTCCCCACTGGGCCACATCCCATCTCATCCACTTCCCACATTTCCTCAAACAGAAGGGTCTTTACACCTGGAAACCACTCCATCCGTGGTGGGCAGCCCGAGTGAGTGGTTCGTCAATGCCACAACAAATGAAGAACCTTGTGGCTACCTGTCAGGGTTCTCATCACAGTCGGAATGCCTGGTTAACGCCCACTCTTCCAAAGCTTTTTGGGGGAGACAAACCACAGACTATTTCACAGCGCCTGGAAAACTCTCTTTCCCCAGCCCCAAAGTCCTGGTGCTGCTTGAGAGACAAGACGAAAGTCAGGCTGACTTCCTTGTGCTGAAGGATGGGGAAGAAAAAGCAGAAACTTTCCAAAAAGCACTTACAACTTGGGAGGAAATCCCAGAGTCCGCTACTGAGTTGCAGAACTCAGGAGGCTCCCTTCCTCTGGGTGGCAGCAGAAGCATGCTCAGTGAGCTGATCACGCACCAGGGGCTCGCTCAGGCTCAAACCACTGAAGACCAGTCAGAACCCAAGTTTACACAGCACTTTTGGGGTCTCCCATATCTCCACAGCGAGTCCATGAACGCTATCAGTACACTGTCGACTCACTGTTCCTCAACCTACATCTGGTTCAATGGAACCCCAGACTCCTCGGTCCTGAATCTTTCCACACCTCTGTCTTTGCCTGAGAACCCATCACAGATGTTGGCCCAATCTCAGTCCCAAGGTGTCCTGCTTGCCATGTCCCAGAACCAGTTTCAACCTCCAATCCCAGAGACATCATCTTCCTCTCAGTCTCAGCTTAGGATCTGTGGGGTGTATTTTCATAGGTCCCAAGACAAGACAAAAACTCTGCTGCAAGCCCAAATCCACCACCTAGAATGCAGCATCATGACAAAGGTACAGGAGAGGGTGTGGGGTTTGCCCTCAGTGGTCCAAAAATCTCAGGAAGACTCTTGTCTCCTACCTGCCAAGCCCTCATTGGTCAGGCAGTCCTCCGAGACCCATGCTCCCAGGTCCATTCCTCCTGGAGACTTCCCCCTGACTGATGCATTCCGGAAGAAACTCGAGCGCCACCTTCAAAAGCGGTTCATCCTACAGCGCTGGGGCCTGTCTCAGAGGATCTTTAAGTCTCAGCCATGGGTGAATCCTGACCTTTCAGAGTCATCTCAGTGCAGCTACGGGCTCTCATGGGCCTCTTTCTTTCAGCACCAGGAGAGCAAAGACCCACACGACACTGTGTCAAACCAACCTGGAAGCTCCCAAGAGAGGTACTCAGAGAGTCTCTCTCTAGAGGGAAAAATGGTAAAGGCACAAGGACAGAGTCCAGAGATTGCCCAAAGATGTCTGTGGAGTAACTCTAGGGGCGCTCTAGGTAATGGCCTGCAATCTGACTGTAAGACAAACCTACGAAGCCACCCAGGCAGTCTGTCAGGGATCTCACAGGTGAGACAATGTCAGAAAAAACTTGAAACTGCCCTGCATCTCAAGGATGGACATGTCAAAAGCACATATACAATGACAAAGTCTGTTCTGCATCAGGCATCTATTGGCTTAGACAACATCAGACTGAAAGAGTCAGAGGGCAATAGACATAGCCCAGATGTGCCCAGAATATCCACTGAGGCTGGCCCTGTGCCAGTGGGTAAGCAACTGGATTTCAGCAAAACAGTCCAGGAGCCTCAAGGAACACAGATGAATGACGAAAACATATTTGTATCCAACAAGGTCAGTAACATAGTCAAGAGAGGGCAGCTCAGTGGTCTTCAACCACAACCTACCAAGATCTTGAACACCAGCCAGTGCAAGAGTGCCCAAGGGGCAGATGGGAATACAACAAAAGTACAAAGTACTCTGGTAGCTGGAAGGGCCCAGAAGGAAATATCAGGTTTCCAGGAAAGTCAGACATCTGACTGCAATAGTCAGGTATCTAGGGAGGAGAAATTTAAAGCAGAAAGCAGACTGCCCATCCAAGCTCTAGGGCCCCCAAATGACATGCTCCCTGCCTCAGAGAAATTCACTTACAAACCTTTACTCATGCATGACCAAAGCCTATCCAGTGGACCCATGAATGCTCCTCAGGTGCAGCAACAGGAGCCCTGGATGCCTCCTCACACCTTAGGCAAGGGCCAGGACAAGGACATCCCTCTGTCTGCCAAGAAAGTATGGCCTGCTACGTGGAAAACGAAAGAGCTCGGAGAAGGGATTACAAGGCCTGGGACATTACAGGCCAGTGGGAAGAGCTGCCATGCACAGGCCAGCCCAGGCCAGGGGAATTACAGGGAAAAGCCCAGCCACCCCCTGCCAGTGAAGGCCCTGACTCCTCCTGAACACCAGTTCAGGAAGCACATCAAACACTTTCTGCAGTGGCTTTCTCCTGACAGAAAGTGCAAAGGGCAGGAGACATTGTTCCTGAGAAGAGGTCCTTCCCCATCGTCACCAGCGCAGGACCCAGAGCTGTGGAAGGCGAGAGCTACCTTTCCAGGGAACACTGTAGCTCAGAAAGCCATGAGAGACCCTGGGAGAGTCCCCAAGGAGCAACTGGGACATAGGCATATTGCAATAGACACCATGCGCCCCCATGTGCCCTTATCTCCTCCTATCAAGCCTGTGAAAACTCATCCAAAGAAAGCATCTTGGGTCCCAGCCGAGCCAGTGCAGGGCTATCCATTCCACCACCAAGCTACCTGCCCGAAGGCGCCAAGTCCCAGGTCCTACAACCAGGCCACTGCTTTTGTCGGTCAAAAGAGATGGGTAGAAGACAGGGGCAGGCTGTCCCAGAAAGGTGTGGTTTTGCAGCCACGTCCACCTGCACCCTACAGGTAGCCAGGGCCTCAACGAAACCTCCCCTCCTTGGGCAGCACTGCCCTTTACTGTAGGGACCCCTTTCCTCCCCAGAAATAATCTCTCTCATTAATGGTACTGATTGCCCCCAATAAATGTTCTGATGAAGTAGTGTCTTTTGTGTGTACTGTATGTGTGCTATGTATGGTATAGATTTTAGATGACTTGGGGTTTGTGTTTAGGGAAAGGGCTGGGTTAATTCAACTTCACCAAGTCCCCCTGTGTGCTTCTGAGAGGTGACCTGGTTCTCTGGGGTTTTTTTTGTTTTGTTTTGTTTTGTTTTTTTGTTTCGTTTTCAGACGGTTTCTATTGGTAGCCTTGGCTGTCTTGGAACTCCCTCTGTAGGCCAGGCTGGCCTTAAACTCAGAGATCCGCCTGCCTTTGCCTCGTAAGTGCTGGGATCAAAGGATGTGGGCTCCACAGCCACTAGTCTACAGTTCACGGCCTTCCCCTAGTGTGGCCAGTCATCTCTGCACGTCTTCCCATCTTGACATCCCTCGCCTACAGAATCCCTCTCTCTCATCGATTGGATTCCCAGAGCTCAGCCTGGAGCCTGGCCGTGGATCTCTGCATCTGCCTCCATCAGTCACTGGACAAAAGCTCTATGATGACGGTTAGGGTATTCACTAGACTGGTCACCAGAGTAGACTAGTGGCTGTGGAGCCCCCATGGAACTGGATATGGAAGACGGTTGTTTGGCTCGAGCTGTTTGTGGGGCACCCAGGCAGGGGGATCGGTATCCATCCCTGGTGCATGGGCAGGCTGTTGGGAGCCTGGTGCCTGTGGTGTGACGCCTTGCACAGCCTTGGAGCAGTGGGGAGGGGCTTGGACCTGCCTAGGCTCAGTGTGCTGGGCTCTGCTGACTCCCCATGGGAGATGTTGATTTGGGGGATGTGGGGATGTGGGGTGTCTTGGGAGGGAAGGTGGGAGGAGGGAGGAGGGAGGATCTGTGGGTGGTATGTAGAATGAGTAGAACATTTCTTAATAAAAATGAAAAGAAACAAATAAAAAAAAGGTGTGATGTGCCTCGAAGAGAACCCTCGGTGCTGATTGACTCTAGGCTGAGCTTACTGTGGCAGCCGCCCATCCCAACACTGACTCTCGTATGCTGGAGAGCAGAGGTCTCCTTACCATAAGATGTGTCACCTACAAAGAACAGTTAATTCCACGAGAATGGAACAATTTTGGTAGCTTTCGGTAAGCGGTGCGTTTGGAGCTGGGCTGCAGACGACGTTGGGAAGCATCTGCGACAGTAGATACTCAGACTCTGACGGGTGCTTCTCAATGGCTCTCGGAAACCTTGCTGTTTTCTCTTTGCCACTGAGTTGTGTCCACTAGAAAGTCACGCAGGGAAATAGTTCCCCTCCCTGGTCATTTCTTTAGCCTGTCTAGAGTGACAATACTTTCTGAGAAAATCGCCACCCTATGGTCAGTGTTAGAAACATTTCCTGGGATTCCACCTTCCTTTCAGGTTAAAAAAGTGCTAAGAGTGGGGGAGATGTGCATTTGAGTAGGAACGTGTGACAGGCATAACGATGGAGGGGATGACATTGCTACTCCAAAGGGACCACTCCTAATGACCCCAGCGTCCCTGGACTCCTCCCCACGTCCCTGCCCAATGGCATCCTGCCAGCGTCCTGTGTGGCTCATGGCTGCCGGGGTCAGGGCTTACATCGGAGGTCCCCCAGGTGCTGGCGTCCGTAGGGTGGTTGTCTGACACGACATTCCTCCCTTCTTTATGCACCCACTCCTCATGCCCTCGGGGTGTGGAGAACACGTGGTGTTGCCGCCTAGTGCTGCATGGCGTTGGTGCCGCAGCTGCCCCGTCAGCATGCCCGTTCCCCAGACTAACCGCTTGTCTCCATTGTCCTGACTTCTGGTGCTGGCATGAAACAGGACCAGAACCAACCTGGGGAGCAGAGGGTTCTTTTGCTCACACACTCCAAGTTACACCAAGGGAAGCTAAGACAGAAACTTAAAAAGAGCAGGAACCTGGACGCAGGAGCTGATGCAGAGGCCATGGGGTGCTGTCTACTGGCTTGCTCTTCATGGCTTGCTCAACCTGCTTTCTTATAGAACCCAGGACCACCAGCCCAGGAATACCCCCATCCACAATGTGTAGGCCCGCCCCCACCAGTCATTTATTCAAAAAATGCCCTACAGACTTGCTGCAGCCAACCTTAGGAGGCATTTTCTCGATTGAGGTTCCCTCCTCAGATGACTTGAGTCTGTGTCAAGTTGACCAAAACCCAATCAGCACATCTACACAACATTCTTCCAAGCTTCTAACTAACCCTGGTAACTATCTCTGCCTGGCTTGTCAGCCTACAAATACCCTCCCTCATGTTGTCTTGCCCTGCCAACCTGGCCAGTTAATATTCACACACTCGCCAGCTGGCTCCTGACCAGTCTCTGTGACTGGCCCCCAGAAGACCCTAGTCCTGCTCCCCAGGCAATCCTCACAGGCCTCCCAAGCCTCACTCTATTCTAGTCCACCCCACTCACTGCAGCCCACTCCACATGCGATTTCCCAGCTTATTCTCTCACAAGACCAACTAACCCACCAGTGGGGGCATTTTCCCAGAATTCCTTGGCATGGTCAGTCACCCTGCTGTACAACCACATCACTGTAATCCCACCCCTTTGCCTGCAGCCAGCCGGTTCAGGGTCCCCCTGTTCTGTCTGCCCTCCTGTGGTGCTGAGGGATGTCCTACTCCATCGAGTACAGCACATCCCCAGTGTACACTGATCTTCTCATGCCACTCCATTCCATCAAGTGCACAGTTGTCTCCCAGGCCCCACTACAGACCTACCATAACCTGGTCTACTAGCTACCCAATCTACCACGGTAACATCCCACCTGCCTCCCACGCCTGCTTATCCTGTTTCCTGTGCATCCTACTCAGCCTAGCCTGCTGCTTCATGGTCAGGCAACGGGAATTTCCCCAACTCTTCCTAGTGTGCTTCTTCACGAGCTAGCAGTTTTCCATTTCTGTCTTCACGAGCCAGCAGTTTTCCATTTCTGTCTTCACGAGCTAGCAGTTTTCCATTTCTGGCTTGCATTACTCCACGTGGCAGGTCAGGTTCTCCAACTCACCTCATCTGCCTGCCAGCCTGCTCTGCTCCATAGCTTACCCTAGTCCACATGGACACCCCTTTTCCCACTTCACCCAGTTTGCTGTTGCCAGGCCTGTGACTCCTCTGTTCCTCAGCTTACCCTATCCATCCACCTTTGGCCTAGCAGTCTGCCATTTGCCTATCTGACCCCAGGAGGCTACTTATTCAGCTGGGTGGGCTCCTTCTGGAGTGTGTGTGTGTGTGTGTGTGTGTGTGTGTGTGTGTGTGTGTGTGTGTTTGTGTGTGTGTACACCTGTGTGTACCAAGGAGGTGGTGGCTGTGGGTGCGGGCAGAGGGCTGACCCAGAGTGAGAGCCAGGAAGGCCTCTGTGAGATCTCAGGCTCAGCTGGCTTCGGATGGTGGACTTGAGAGGAGGCTGCTGGGCCAAGGAGGTCTCTTGCTTGCTCTCAGTATGGCCGCTAGCCTCCGTGTCTGGGGTGCTTCCTCCCACTTGTCCATATGCCCCCTCAAATACCATCAGGACCATGCCTCCAGTGTCCATGTACCCACAAGCCTTGGAGTCTCCCTCCTGAGGGCCACATGTTGATGGCTTGTCCTGTCGTAAGAGATGGAGTCTGAGGAAGAGTTTACCTCCATCATGCCTGTCCCATTGTCCCAAAGCCTGGTTTAGTTCCTTTTTCCTGTTTGTACCTCTTCAGACACTCTACTTTGAATTAATTAGTGTGGAAATTCTACCATCTTGAAGAGCAGGGCCGCCTAATGCCTGCAGTCTCCCAACTCAGGCTTGTCTACCCAGTCGGCTGTTTCTCAAACCACGCAAGTTAACTACCACTGGACTGGGCAGCCCAGGTTATTTTCTGGCTCACCCTCAACTGCCATTAAGCCATGCTTCTTTTCTCACCACATTCTACTGCCAAGTGGCATGTTAGCCCACTCTGCTCTCCACTTCACCATGGTTGTGCAGCGTGAAAAATGCACTTCTCCCCAGTATACACTCGGTCCTGTTACCCAGTCCACCATGTGTCTTACCTGATCCATTCCACCCAAACGCATTCTCCCTTTTAACCAACTCTATGCAGCATGCTTCGTCCCTTACACCTGTTCTTTCCTCAGTCCACCAGCAATCCAAAGACCTTAAGAAGCTGCTCATAGGACTTGGTTTAAGCACATCTAGACTTTCTTCCTCGATTCCACCTTAATCACATAGGATCCTCTGCAGCAATAGATGGAAATACAAGGAAGGCTCGCATGTGGCATCTGAACTGACTTGACTAAGTCCCTCTATTCCAAGAAACTTACCTGCCCTTGTCACATGACAGTGACTTCATCCTAGGGGACTACTGGTCGCAAGAATATAAAAAAGGTCTGAGAGGAAAAGTGTGTGCTAAGGAACAGGGTTGAAAACAAAGCTACCTCCTCTGAACACAAGGGAGTAAAGAATCTCTTCTTGGTATGTGGTTCACATCCTTTCACAAGAATCTCAGAAAACAGTGCATCTTTAGGAAGAAACATAAAGAGGCAGAGAGCAAAAGCTGATGTGACTAGGTCCTTCCCGAAGTCCAGCGCTAGTACTAACACATGCCACACACGACACACATTTTCAGTACATTTATTGGGTAAATCAATACTGTCAGCAGAGGAAAAATGACTGTTGGGTAGAAAACATATTCCCAGGAAATCTGGATAAGCATTTTCTTTGGGTAATAGAAACACACTTCCCAACACTGCCTTCAACACAGAGAAGGGCAGCCGAGATACTCTGGTCAGCTTGGCGCCTACAGACAGGACTTTGGCAAGACTCGGGTTCCCTGCGAAGCACACACGAGGGAAGTCTCCAGTGTCTCAGCTTTTCCTGCAATGCCACACCTCTCAGGGGCTGCCTGCCCTTGTCCTGGGCTGCAGGACCCGGCCCCTCGCACTTGAGAGCAGGCAGCTTGGCAGCAGGAGTGGTGCCTCTGGACAGGCTCTGCCTGTGCCTGCACTTGGACCTCCCGCTGAGTTCCTTCAGACCCCAGGACTGGAGGAGGCAC